CACATTTAGATTTCTCTTAATTTAGTCCCTGTTTAGGATTATTTTCTTTAATTAGTTGTGTATATTTATTTTGCATGTTGATATGTTTATGTATAAGTGTGCGATCGATTTATTTAGGAGTCACATAACATCATTTTGCATAATTTGTATGTTACCTTCATGTGCATAACTTAACCCCTATTATATAATTAGATTTAGGGTTTAGGGTTCATTGCAAAGACATTAATTAATCGATTTAGTATCGATTTATTAGGTACATGTGATTTAGGGTTTAGGATTTAGAGTTTAGAGTTTAAGGTTTAGAGTTTATTATTTAGGGTTTTATGGTTTATTATTTAGGGTTTAAGGTTTAGTGCTAATTGCAAAGAAATTAATTAAAATTTGAGGATAGTTGTATTATAGAATTTTTAATATATTTTTAAAATTTTATAATTATCAACAATGTATTTTTAATAAATTTTTTATAATGTAATTTTAAAAAATCTAAAATTTTAATATAACATTTTTTCGAGCTACTCACGAGCTTTTCGAGTCGAATATCGAGTAGCTCGTTTTGGCTCGTTAAGAACTCGAGTCGAATCTATTCGATCCGAATATTTATCAAACCTTGATCGAATCGATCTCGACTAGCTTACAATCTGTCTCGCCTCACTTAGAGCCCTAATTCTTATATGATACCATCTCGTACGTTGCACAGGAGTGGGAGCGGTGCATCCTTTGTCATTGGTAAATCCGTAATATCGTATTTCTGACTGGTACATTCAATTTGAATATTAAATTCAATTACCGTTTGGAGATGTAATTGAGGTAGATGGGGCTATATGGTATGCATTGCATCCATATCATATTTGATGCTATATGAATATGTCATGTCTAAATTATTTAATATCGTGAGTTGACTTCATATTGTACTTTATTTTTTTATTGGTCTATATTTAGGGACCATACTGAGTTTTATAACTCACGATCATTAAAATCATTCTAGTACTTGAAAATTCGACTAGCGTCATCATATTTTATACAAGATGATTATTATTGGATTTTCATTATACTCTATATACTATTTTTGGATATTGATTTATTTTTTATTTGGACTTTGAGATATTGATTATATTTCGAGATTTTTGGACTATATTTTGGCATGATGATACTTTATGAACATTCAGATTCTTATTAATAAATTTTGTGAGTTTTCACTTGGTATATAATTATTGTAAACCTATTGGATAATCTGAGTATAAATTGCTATGATAAATGTAATGATTTATAAAAAAAATAAAAAAAAATATATATATATAACGCTCTTATGAACTTTCATTTGTGTAATTTACGAGATTCGGATAATGTCTAGGTCGGGTTTAAGATATTAGAAAGAAAATTAGAAGGATAAAAAAGAAGAGGAAATGAAAAATATACAAAATGATTTTTGTATGAATTCAAAATGATTCCTTTTGGCATAAAGTTAGATTTTCCAAAATGTTGATTTGATGCTGTAAGCCATGTTATAATGTTGATATTTAACGACACAAGGGTCAAAATAAAAATAATTAAAACTTTCGTTGATTAAATTAAGAAATTAAACTCTAGTGACCAAATAGGAATGAGAATAAAATTGACGGATTAAATTTCTAATTTACCTGTTTCAATGGTATTTAAGTTCATAAAAACTAAGAAATCTTTCTGCCTTGCATACTCTAAGCATTTGTCGTAGGTTTTGAAATGTTGCAAGTTTGAGGACCTTTGTAAATATATCTATGATTTGATCTTTACTTCTGCAATATACCATATCAATCTCTTCATAATTCACACGATCTCTCAAGAAATGATATCAGATGTCAATATGCTTGCTTCGCCCGTGCAAAGTAGGATTCTTAGAAAGCTTTACGGTTGAACTATTGTCACAGTAGATAATAGAAGGTCCCTTTTGCTTGAAATGAACTTCCTCAAGAAGCTTTCTCATCCAAATGGCTTGACAGACACATGCTGATGCAACTACAAGTTATGCATCGGTTGTTGATAGAGTGAAAATTGGTTGCTTTCGTGACGATCATGAAACAACTCCTGACCCTAACATAAAAATATAACCAGATGTACTTTTTCTATCATCTTGGTCGTCTCCTTTAAATTCACTATCCTTAAACCCAATCAAGTCTGATTTTTCTCCCTTTTTGTACAATATTCCATATTCAATTCTATCTTGCAAATATCTAAGGATTCTTTCTGTTGCTTGAAGATGCATTTCCTTTAGATGTTCCTTGAGTATGCAAATAACATTTACAACATATGTTATATTTGGCCTATTCGTAGTGAGATACATCAAACTCCCCACGATTTGCTTGTACAAAGTACAGTCGACGACTCTTCGATTATCATCTTTTACCAACTTTAAACTTGTCTCTGCTGGTGTACCAACCGGATTGCAGTCCATCATTTGAAACCTCTTTAGAATCTCATACACATATTTCCTATGAGAAATAAAAAATACCTGGATCTGATTTTGCAACCTCTAAACCTAGAAAATAATGCATTTTTTCAAGATCTGATATGTCAAATTCAGTCATCATGGATTCTTTAAATTTATCAAACATAGTCTGATCATTCCCAGTAAATAACAAATCATCAACATACAAGCAGACCATCAACAATTTTCCACCATTTTCTTTTTTCACAAAAAATATGCTTATAAAGATACTTCTGAAAACCATTTTTGAGAAAATAAGCTTCGATATGATTATACAAAGCTTGAGGGGATTGTTTAAGTCTGTACAAAGCCTTTTTTTTTAATTTATACACTTTATGATCTTCTCCAAACTTAATATAGCCAGGAGATTGGTTAACAAATACATGTTCATTCAAGTCTTCATGCAAAAATGCCGACTTGACATCTAGTTGACAAATTGACCAAGAACTTTTAGCAACCAATGCGATCACCAATTTGATTGTGTCATGTCTAGGAATTGGAGCGAATACCTCCTTGTAATCAATGTTGAACTCTTAACTATAACCTTTCGCTACTATATGTTCTTTGCATTTGTCAACTTCACCTGTTTCCTTCAGTTTTGTCTTATAAACCCACTTCACATAAATGATTTTATGTCCCTTTGAAAGCTCAGTTAACTCCTACGTTTCGTTCATTTCAATAGCTACAATTTCATCATCCATTGCTTTCTTCCAATTTTGATTGTTTAGCATCTTCAAAAAAGACAAGACCACAGTCTAAAAAAAGAGCAAAATAAGTGAGTGAGTCCTAGGATTGGTCAATTCTTTGAACTTCATAATCTCTCATCTAGGCAGGTCTTCTTCTTATACATGGTGTTGTTGGCTCTGTTGCAACTTCAGGTGAGTTTTGAATTCTTTCTTGTTGCTCATTAGGTGGTTGCGAAGTATCTTCAACGTGTAACTCTCCATCAAATTAATTTGGAATATTCCTTTAAATTATTGGTGTTTCCTAACACTAGTGTCGAAATGATTTTTAAAGTGGGGAGCGAGATTTTGAAAACCGCATCAATTTTTAATTATCTGCTTTATGTTTGAATTTTAATTAGAAAACAATGTTATTTTAGAAAAACCTCTCGTTTCGAAAATTTGGGAATTCATTCACGATAAAAACACGGGTTCGAAGAGTTGCCACCAATCTTTGATTAGGGTGTGATTGGGCACCCAAAAATGTTTGCCATTTTAAATAAAAAAATTAATTTTAATTAAACAACAATTTTAGGTATGCATTACCAAAATTCGAGTTCGGGAGTCGGTTACGCGTGGGGAATGATTAGCACCCCCACAGCGCCCTAAATCGGTACCTTGTCGATTAATTAATGTCTTTGCAATGAAATTTATGAATTCAAGCTTAATTTGGTTTATGATCCCTTAAAACAACAACATACAAATTTTACGACATGCAAAAGCACCAAAATTGATTAAATTAAAATTACCAAGCATTTAGAAAGATAAAAGATATTCGATTTTTTACAAATATCGAGACAAGATCTTAGACAAGTTCTAACTATATTTTCTCGATAAATTTAAATAGCCGAATATTTCTTTTTCTTCCGTTCCCAAATTTTAAAATGATGGATCAATTTTTTAAAGTGTCAATAATGAGATATACTTTTAATTTAAAATCGTCAAAAATGTATATCTAATCAGTTAAGACAACTCACTTAAAATAATTTTAAATTAAAAGAATATTACCCTTAATTAAATTATGTAAATACGTCGAGTTATGCACATGAGACTAACATGCCAATACTAAGTAAATAATGCCACACATTAACAAAACATTTAAGCTTAAAATACACATACTCTTGTACACATGACTAATCGGCAAACATGATAATGAAACCTTAATATTTTAAAAATATAAAATTTTGCTATTACCATATTAACATAACATGTGATAAACGGTTTTCATACTAAATTAATTAATAACTAAGATATAATATTAATTTTATTAATTTACAAAGGCCTAAAATAAAATTGGGTGATATGGTACATACAGGCATACAAAATGAACATACATTGAAGTAAAACAACATAAAATTAAATATGCCTTTAATAACTCAAGTCTCATATTCAAAATTTCCATAGAGGACCACAATGAAAGAAAATTAAACTAGGCATGCAAAAATAGAAATTAACCACTAAAATAAATAAATCTGCTGAGTGACTAAATTGCAAATCCCAAAATTACGAATTATATTAGAAATAATGCATAACAGCATTCAGGACCAAAATGAACATTTTCCACATTACATATCCAAATTGAAAATAATGCAAAATACCCGTAGCATGATGCAGGACTAAATTAAAACACGCTGAAAATTACAAGGCAAAATCAGAAACCAGTAGAGTCCGGGTTATGGATTATAACGAGACAGGTCAAGGTAGGATGGGTCTAGCCTCCTGAAACGCCGTCGTTTTAGTCCATCAAGGAACGACACCGTTTTTACGTCTTCATATATGATATTAGGGTAAACTTTAACCTAACTTGACACCATTGTATCCCTCATTCTACTTAGACACCAAACCCCAGCCGTTTTCCTTTATCTCAACTCCCTATCTCCCACTCGGCCTAACCCTTCAACCCTTATCGACCTAAACAACCCCCACGGCCACCACGGCCACCATGGCCTAAAGCTCCGATGAAGAGCCCCCTCATGCACAAACCCACTCCACGAACAACCTTGAACCCCGACCTCAAAATTCCTCAGATCAGAAACTCGAAACCTAAGGGTTAAAACAATCAAGACCCTTACTTTTTGCAGCTAAAGGTTTTCACAAACCTAGATCTACGGTGGTAAGGCGTTTACCTTCGAAAAATTGGCGACTTTACTCCGATGGACAAGGTTTTGACGCTATCGAGGGTAAGAATCTCTTTGTTTTTCTTGAATGCTCTCGGTTTTCTGGTGACTCGATGATCTTTCCCTTTTTTGGTTGTTGATGACTTTTTGTTTCTGCCTGTTTCTTTTCGGTGATGGCTGTTGATGGTTAGTTTTTTTGACTGGATGGTTTCGTTACTGATGGTGGTTTCTCGTTCACTCTCCTCTGTTTTTTTGTGTGTGTTTTTCTTTCTTTCTTTTTTTACCCTTTTTTTATCTATCGTTGATAATCACTGACCCCCGGTTTGTTTTTTCGTTGTTGCTTTTATCCTCCTGCCTCTCCCATCTCCACGCATCCTCGGAAAAGCTAAAGAATCGGTGCATGCGAGGTATGGGCTTAAGCCGACAGAGCCTGGGTAGCAGCATCGGTTACGGTGGACGGCCGACCAGCATGGGTAGGTGCTGCATGCGTGCGTTGCCTCGGTCTCGGTGGGTTCACACATTGTCTCGGGTTCCTGTGCTGTCCCGAGGAGTGCTGGGTGGAAACAACGCACTGTCTTGGAGTTCCAGATGGGTCTGCGCACGCTGGCTCGGGTTCCTGTACCCGCTCGAGGATCACAGATAGCTGGGGACCGTTGGATCTAAATTACAGATCCAACGGACTTCATGTTGCGGCGCTGGAGGCTGGGATAGGAAACCCTAACGGGCCTAGGGTTTCTCCAAGAGGCTGCAGAACTGGGCTCACGAAATTCGGGCTTGGTGTTGGGCAGCTAAACTTCATTGGCTCGGGCCTGTTGTAATTTGTATTAATTTGGACCTGTAAACATAAAATCTTATTTTAGTGAGCCAACTTTTTAACACACACACACACACATATATATAATGGAGTAAAAAATTCAAAGGAGAGCCCCCGGACAAAATGAGCATCTACACCTAGAACGTTGCTTCGTCAAAAATCATATTACGACTGATAACAATTTTTCTTAGAGTTAGGATTAGACAACTTGAATGCTTTAGTACGTTCACTAACACCAAGAAAGATTATTTTCTCCTTTGCCTTCTAACTTGTTTCTTTTTTGATCAGGGACGTGCATAAGCAATACACACAAAGATTTTGAAATGGCTGACATCGTGTCGCCTTTCGCTCCAAGTTTATTCCGGTGTCATATTTCGTACAAAAAAAGTTGGATTCCTATTTAGAATGTGAATGCAGGAACTTTGCTTCATGGAATTAAACTTCGCACCATGTTGAAAATGGTTCGATTCTTTCTTTCGGATACAACATTCTGCTAAGGTGTGTAGGCTGCTGTTAATTGCCTTTTAATTACACGCTCTATACAAATCGAGTGAAATCATGCGAATTTATTCTCCTCTGCGATCAGTCCGCAAACATGTATAGAACGCCTTGCTTCTTTCTCAGCTATTGCTTTAATATTTGAAAAAATTAAAGCTTCAGATTTCCTGTAAAATCAACCTATATTTTTTTACTCGTATCATCTATAAAGGTGATATAACGTTTACCTCCTTTAGAAATGGGATTAATTGGCCCACAAATATCAAAGTGCACTATCTCCAATAGGTTCTTGCTCTTTCAAATTTTCCTTTCGGAAATGGTTATCGATGCTTCTTATTGAGCACACATTCCTCGCAGACATTTGTAGGAAAGAGAACTATGGGAGGCCAGCTACCATGTTTTCTGTTTAAGCTTTTGTAAGCCTCCAAAATCGAGATGACCGAAACAAAATGTCATAGTTGCATTGAATCAGACAATCTTGCTGTAAAACAAGACTAAGTAGAATGATTGAGGTAGAGAGTAAACATCTGATTTGTTGTCATAGCTACTTGAGCAATTAATCCTGATTTTCCATCTTGAACTCGATACATCCCATTTTTAATTTTGATCTAGTAACCCTTCTCTTGCAATTGACCAATAATTAACAAATTGGTCTTTAAATATAGAACATAATGACATCAGACATAGTTGAGTAACATTACTTTTATTTAGAATAGTTACATGTCCTTTGCTCATCACAGAGATCTTAATATTGTTTCCAAACTTACATTATCTCTAAATGATTCATCAAGAGTCTAAAAAATTGGCTTATCTCCACTCTTGTAATTGTTGCATCGGTGTCTAAATACAACAAATGCTTCTTGGTAGGTTATTTTGCAAGACATACCATCAACAATGATATATCTTTATCTTTCTCTCCTTCCTTTCCAATAAAATTGGATTCTTCCCCATGTGCACATGAGAAAGTGGTTCGACACTCTAATTTGTAATTACCATACTTGTGACAGCGATAACATTCAACATTTGATTTGTCTGATGGTTGTGTTTGATAACTGCAATATCTTCTTACTCTTTCATGAGATTGGTTTCCTGAATTCTGTGGATGACCATAGTTCCTCTATCGTGACCTCTGTTGCGACCTCTACCTCAGCCTGTCATTGTGGCCATTTGATATGTGTCCTCTATTGCCTTTAATCGAATGATCTGACGAAACTTTTAATGTTAATTATGCATTATCTGGCTGCACCAATTTTCTTTCATGAACCAACAATGAACCTTGCAATTCATCAATGGATAAAAGATCAGGATCTTTTGACTCCTCAATGAAATATACCACGCAATTGAACTTTGGTGTTAATGAGTGTATAATTTTTTTCGACTACAACCACATCCTCTATTTTCTCGCTAAATGTTCTCATCTTACTGATCATAACCATTGTCCTTGAGAATAAGTCAGAAATGGTCTCCCTAGATTGCATTCAATGAAGTTCAAATAGTGAGCGAAGTGCCTAAAGCTGTTGCCTCCTTGCTCTGGTTGATCCCTGGAATTTTTTTTTTCATCGAATCCCAAATATCCTTTGACATATCTTTGCAAATGATAGTTTCCAAGGTTGAACGGTCAATCGCTTGAAAGAGATAATTTTTGCCTTAAGATCTTTCAATTTCAAAGCCTCAATTTCTAGCCGTTGTGCATCCATTGTGATGTGCCTGATTTTGGTATTCCATAGAGACGACTTGCCAATACTCCTTGGATTTGAGAAAATTTTCCATCAACATGCTCCAATGATTGTAGTGACCATCAAAGCGAGAAATTGATGGTTGTACAAAACTATCATAGGCCATTTTGTTAAATATATGAGGGAAAATTGTTGATTTATCGCTAATTAAATCCGGCTTTGATGACACTGTTGTGTGAGCAACATATTAAAGTAAATGAGATAATTTGGAAAGAATATGACATATTGTTCATGGAGCAAAATAACCTCTTTAAATAGGCTACACAACTAACAAAAAAAAATGTCCATAAAAACTGCTGAAAAAGTCTAACAAATATAACAAAAAAATTATCTATTAATTTATAATTATTATTAAAATATTGTTCCTTTTGGCCATCCATTAATATCTCAAGATTTTGGTGCCATTTAATCTACGTCTTATTTTAAATATCAAACCGACGATGTCTATCAAAATGGTATGTGATGTTGATGTTGTTTGTTTTTTTTTTTTTTTTTTTGCACTTCTGGTTCTGAGTTTCATTATGAATAATTTAGATAGATTCACGTCGCATATCTAGTTTTGGTAGGGAAGTCTCTTAGTAGAGATTTTCTGCATATACAAGAACCCAAACTCAAAGTCTACTTAAGCGATACAAATTTTAGTATATCAATAATTCACTATACTTATTTTAATACATTTATGTTGTTGTGTTGTTTTTATAAAAAAATTTAATAATTAAAGGAAACAAGAAATTCAAAAAACTTAATTAACAGCACAAATAGACAAAGGCAGATAGAGATGCTAAAGAAACAAACTACACCAATTTTAACCCTCTATTCAACGGCTCACCTACACTCTTTTGATAGTGATCCAACGTCTTAATTTATGATCCTAAGAAGGTATCAACCTTTGCATTAGTAGCCCTAGATAGAAATTTCATGCAAATCGGTGGTTTAACTCCTGCTAGAGCAAGTATTGAACTCGGCAACGTCCATATACCGTCTCCGCAGATGAGACCCGAGGCAACGGCGGCGAGAATGCGTCTGCCTCGCCTTGTTTACCTTTTCCCACACGTCCTTAATGAAGTTAATCAAGATGGCTGCAGCAAAGACCCGTAACAAAGCGATAGGCAGTTTTTCGGTAGAGCAGAGAACCCCTGAACCCCCAATATCGCCCATGTTGCGATAAACGATGGCGAAAGGAGCGGGATATTGGCTGTCAGGGATGCCAAAGTCGTCGAATGCTTTGAAGAAAAGCCGAAGACGCAGGGTGAAATTATACAGCCCATGGAAGTGCCAATCACTTGGCTAATGAACATGGACCTGGGAGAAGCCAGGGTGAGGTAGCCCGTCTTAAAATCCTGCATCAGGTCGGAGGCTGTCGAAACGATGTTCATCATCACACCACATGCCGCGAGGCCTGCAAGGACTCCACCATGTGAGCCTGCCCAAGCACCAATTATAAGATGGCTAGCTTTCCGTAGTTGGAGGCAAGGGACCAGTCGGTCAGTCCACATCCATATGCATTACAGAAAGCCAGAGTTGGTGCAAATATGTAGATGACCAATATGTAATACCATTTCAGATCACGAAAGAGGTGCGGAAGAAGGACGGTAGAGATATAGCGATTGTGACATAACCCGCAACTGAAAAACCATATGGGAATCTGATCTTTTAGAAAGATCTCGGTTCGGCGCTGGTCATCGTAAGATACTTCTTCGAGGCATCAGGGGTTCTAGGCTGGTTTGCAACGGGGAGAGCTTGATTGCCTCTGACTTGATGAACAAGCCTGTGAGAGTTCTGCTAAACACCTTGAAAAAGTTGTATAGCCCATCACCTAGAATCATGGCAATGGCAATAAATACCTGTATTCCGGATTAAGTCGAGCGTCAAAAGTCAACGGGAAGACGAAAAATACTACCGATGCCGACAAGCATATAGGAAACTAACCTTGTAACCTTGGAGGCCATGCATATTGCTTGTGGGAAGACCTGCAGGATACCAATCGCCCTTTCTTTCTTCAATGAGAGGCCACATTAGACCCCATGAAAGTATCCCTCCAAGAAGCACCGATTGTTAATTATTAGGGACAGATCCCTACTCCACATATGTTGCTGAGAAATCAAAGTAAAACCTGAAAATTAGCAAAGCAAGTATTATTAGCCAAATCAGAAGCAAATATTAGTATGAATGCATTATTTTACTCACTTGTTCTCATGCTTTAATCCCAATGTAGGGAAGTTGACAAATCCACAATCATCTCCAGCAGTGAAAAACCATTGAAAGAAACCCCACAAGAAGCTGAAAGAAAAGAACTTGCCTAATGCTTTTACTTGTTTTCTACAAATCTCCAAAAGCATGAAACAATTAGGTATAATTAATTCATGGATGGAAATGGAAATTAATGACGAGTGACAGTTATTTACTTTGCTAGCTTGGCTCCTTGAGGAGTGTGGAAGCTATTGATAAGATGTGCAGTTGCTGTACCACTTGGATATGTCAACTTGAAGTCTATAATCATTATCTGATACCAATAACATCACTCAATATCATGCAACTTGTACATATATGTAGGTTTTTATGTTAAGGGCGAAGTTTTAAAATTTTCAAATAGAATATTTAAAATATGTGATAATTTAAAATTTTCAAGGGACAACTGTCCCTACCTATTTGCATGTGTGATGTTAGAGACAGAGCAGAGAGCTTACCTTGCGAAGAGGCAGCCACAGAGAAAAGACCTAAAAGCTTACAACAAAGAGGAAGCCAACAATCCATCCTAGTGAGGGGTTCTTGAAACCATCACTATTGTCCCCAGATGTTTGGCAATGCGTTCACT